ATGTTTCCCCCTCCATGTTTGACGGTGGGGATGGTGTTCTTGGGGTCATAGGCAGCATTCCTCCTCCTCCAAACACGGCGAGTTGAGTTGATGCCAAAGAGCTCGATTTTGGTCTCATCTGACCACAACACTTTCACCCAGTTCTCCTCTGAATCATTCAGATGTTCATTGGCAAACTTCAGACGGGCATGTATATGTGCTTTCTTGAGCAGGGGGACCTTGCGGGCGCTGCAGGATTTCAGTCCTTCACGGCGTACTGTGTTACCAATTGTTTTCTTGGTGACTATGGTCCCAGCTGCCTTGAGATCATTGACAAGATCCTCCCATGTAGTTCTGGGCTAATTTCCCCACCGTTCTCATGATCATTGCAACTCCACGAGGTGAGATCTTGCATGGAGCCCCAGGCCGAGGGAGATTGACAGTTATTTTGTGTTTCTTCCATTTGCAAATAATCGCACCAACTGTTGTCACCTTCTCACCAAGCTGCTTGGCGATGGTCTTGTAGCCCATTCCAGCCTTGTGTAGGTCTACAATCTTGTCGCTGACATTCTTGGAGAGCTCTTTGGTCTTGGCCATGGTGGAGAGTTTGGAATCTGATTGATTGATTGCTTCTGTGGACAGGTGTCTTTTATACAGGTAACAAACTGAGATTAGGAGCACTCCCTTTAAGAGTGTGCTCCTAATCTCAGCTCGTTACCTGTATAAAAGACACCTGGGAGCCAGAAATCTTTCTGATTGAGAGGGAGTCAAATACTTATTTCCCTCATTAAAATGCAAATCAATTTTTAACATTTTTGACATGTGTTTTTCTGGATTTTGTTGTTGTTATTCTGTCTCTCACTGTTCAAATAAACCTACCATTAAAATTATAGACTGATCATTTCTTTGTCAGTGGGCAAACGTACAAAATCAGCAGGGGATCAAATACTTGTTTCCCTCACTGTATGTCCCCTCCACTTCTAAAACCAAAGTTGCGCCCCTGAACAGATTCAGATCTGTATTCCAAGTAATGCGAAATCTATAGATTAAGGCCTAATGAATTTATTCCAATTGACTGATTTCCTTATATGAACTGTAAAAGGGAAAATCTTTGAAATTGTTGCATGTTGCGTTTATATGTGTAGGCCTATCAGAGGACTTCTGCGACTGTCACAGAAATGTAGGGAGTTATTTAAAAATGCAACACTTGAGGAAAGAAAATACATTTTTAAATAAAGGCCAGCCTCAATTTTCCATGAGGCTTCCGATGAGCCCGTCCCAGGAGAGGCAGCATTAAAGGTACAGTAATTAACAGAGCCCGGCTAGCTCTGATGAGTCCACATGAGCTTTTTACCGTTGCCATATGGGCCATTTAATTTCTCTGTGACGGTGTTCCCTGATAGAAAATGTTTAAAGGGGGAGGAATGGAAAAAGGAGTTTGTCCTCAAGTGACACAGTCATATGCTATCAATATGCTGCCATGTTCTTTTGGAGCTGGGGTTGTGTTTTAATGGGCCTGGTGGTTAGAACGTGGCATGCGTTTCACAGGGACACTATATTGTTATGCCTCCATTTCTTCTTTTAAAGGAGGATTTTTTATTTTTTACTAAAGAAGGCAGACGTCCGTTGCCATGAAGCTCTTCCAAAAAGGAACAAAGAGGGGGGCTATTCCAAAACAGAGTGGTCGACAGTTATTATATGAAATCACCACACACAGAGAGGCTTGGCTGGGAGAAGGAAAACAAACCGGCCACATTCCCCCTGTACTGTAGCCTACTCTGACTCACATCTTGGTTATGGATCGGACAGAGGGGTCCCAAGCTGAAAGCAGTGTCATATGGCAGCATTGTCATTCTTCTGTAACCGCTCCCTTATTCTCAGACCACTCTGCAGTTAACCCTGCTCCTATTATTTATACTGACCTATTTACATTATATATTTATGTTCTCAATTACTTTAAGCATATCCTTCCTACTCTCCGTCCAACACTTTGACAACCACTTTTAACAAAACAAGCAAATGGATGAAACATTCCCATGCAGCAAAAACTTGGTTTCTTGGATCCAAGACCGCATTCATGTTTTTTGTCAAAAGTTGTGTAGAGAGTGAAATGTGGCACTGAAAGCATTGGTGGCCTGCCGGGCTCGTTTGGTCTTCGAAAGTGTCTCTGCGTGCCAGGAGGGAGGTCACCCAAAGCTGGAGCTCGTTCTGTCTTTTATTCCCGTGGAGATTTAGTGAAACACAACCACAAAGCTAGTTTAAGTATGTCACTCTCCCATCGCTCTCCCAGTTCTCTGCCAAGGCATGAGACATCTGATTTAGAGAATAATGAAATGCAGAAAAATGGCTTTCCCATAATTAGACTTTCTCTTATCTCTGCTGAGCTCTGTAGAAAAAATAGCAAATTCCATAATGGCAGAGTCTTTGCATTGGCTTTTAAAAAGTGTATAAACAGAAACTTCTGTTAGGGAGTATGAAAGCAGTATGCTGATTTGAAACTGATGTGAATGCTGTTGTACAGTACCACACAGCTACAATTGTATCTCTGTGGATTATTTGTACACTCAATCCATATGGAGATATGCTGACTGAGAAACGCATTCTGACAGTATTTACACATCACGTTTCTCCTCAACAAATACAATAGTTGGTTGGTAGCCTACCAGAAGATGCAGTGATCTTGATTTAACTTGGAACATTTTGATTTGATGTGTATTTGTCATAATAGACAGGGCTCCTGTGGCTGCAGCCTTATCTCTACATGGTCTTCCTCAAATAAGCTCTACAGGGAACTTATTAGTATATCCACAACATATCTTCCACCCAGCTCTATAGTGCTGTTGGGGAGTATGAAAGCAATTGGGAAATGGTACCTTATTACCTTTCAAACGACTCTAAACCTACTGGGAGTAAGACTAATGAATTATTTGATACAGGTTCTTTTGACATACTTTGACTTTCAAAGTGGCTTTAAAGTGGCAGCTTCAGAGTGGAAGCTCTTTGGACTAGTAGTCTATGATACTATATGCTACAGATGCTGTAAGTGGTTGGTGCTTGAGGGTGTGTCTGGACCATCCCAAATGACATAGATCCATTAGTCCTTCTGGTATAATGATATTGATTTAGAACACCTGGACAGGAGCTGTTGTTATTGGTGCAGTATTGCAGAGTTGTCATCATACTGATATTTAGACATCGTAAAATGGATGACCTCATTGACAAAAATGTGTGTACACAGTCTATTGCTTTCTTGGGGTTTCTGCATCCACAACGAAGACAAACTATTTTCCTTGAGGGCAAGTCTGCAGTGTTGGTAAACCTGCGACTCCTGCTGTATCTTAAAAGACAAGTGACTCCTGCTCCATCCGAAAAGACAAAAATAGCACACAACACAACAAAGCTTTGCTCCCAAAGATCAAATGCTTAGAGCAGACAGGGAGTGTGTTTCATGTGGTCTATAGGCATATAAGTAGGAGTGGAGCAGCTGTGATCTGATAGTGATGGAGAACACCTTGTCTGAGTGACACTGCCCTGGCCTCTAGTGACCAGCAGAGGGCGCTGCTTTCACCCCACCCTCCCTCTGGTCTGACGTAGAACAATGAAGAAGTGGCGCTGCTGACCAGCTTTGGATCGGTCAAAAAGCCTAAACAAAGTCTTATCCTAGATTAAAGCTTTTACTCGATCCTCATCAAACATTCAGGAAGTAGATTCACTATTGAATTACATGATCTGAAACAGATTGATATACATTAACCTAACAGGACTTGCAGAAGAATCGATGTGGACAATATCCATGATATCAAACAGGACTTGCAGAAGGATCGATGTGCACAATATCCATGATAAGAGGTCAATACACCCACAAATAATATGTTGTGATTCTCTTGTCATGAATCTCTCAGGTGTTTTAGATCCCTGTAACTTCTTACAGTGCTGTACAGAAAGTGACGTGTACAGTATTGGACATGATGGCAACTTTAAAAGTGACACATTTAACTGGCATTACAAACGTTTAGATTAGGGAGCCTGTTTTAATTGCGGTCGTGCTTTGAGGATCAGGGCTGTGTAATAGGAGCTGACAGACGTATGATATGAGTCCTGTGATCACTATTAGACTACAAATGCTGTGGCTGCTCCTCTCTGCTCTGCTCGCCCTCCCATTCATTTACACTGTGATTGACTGTTTTATTTCAGGAACAGCTCTATTAGGTATATTTCGATGAGTGGTCATTCTTCAGAGAAAATAATTAAAAGTAATCATCTCATCCGGGTTGTCTCTCTCTCTCTCTCTCTCTGTGTTACTGTGTGTGTGTAAGCTACTCTGATCACTCAGTATGCATGTTCCATCTTTGTGTTTGTCTAACCCCTAAAACAGACATTTGCAATTGGAGGAGAAAGGGAGACTTTTTCCAATGTACTTGTGGTTTCATACAATGCATATGATACAACCAAACTCAGTGCTCATATTCAAAGGATTCTTTTTAATTTCCAAGTGTGTCTGAGACAGGCCCCATTTGCATAGAAAATGGTAACGGATACTCACAGTCGGCTGCATACTCTGTTTGGAGTTGGTGTTCAGGATGATGCTCATTCACAGACTTGAATAAAGACAGATTTGAATGCATCACACAGGCACACGTACACACAGATAACATAGCATCATTACTTTTGTCCATTCTTCTTTCATGATACTGTAGCTATGCAGTATAAGGCAATGGAAGAGCCAGACCACAAAATAAGCTATTTACTAGTATGCATTCACTATAGTACAATTCAGAAATCACAGTTTGGGTGCTGGGTTCAAAAAGTGTAACTAACAAATACAATAACAATATAGTAAAATATAAACGCTATCCCCTTTTTAAGCAGGTAGCTTAGTGGTTAAGAGCGTTGTGCCAGTAACCGAAAGGTCGCTGGTTCTAATCCCCGAGCCGACTAGGTGAAAAATCTGTCGATGTGCCCTTGAGCAAGGCACTTAACCCTAATTGCTCCTGTAAGTCGCTCTGGATAAGAGCGTCTGCTAAATGACTAAAATGTAAATGTAACTAGCTCCAAGCTTTAGGCACAATAAGTCCTCTTGTCTGTTCATGAATCCATCCATTGCTGTAGATAAAATGCCCTCATCACTTCTTCTCCAGGCCGAAGATCTCTTGGCTCTCAATGAGGATGAACTCCACTATCTGGTTCTGATATACCATGTTGACCGCCATGTTCCCACAGTCCAGCTCAGGCCACATGAGTGTCGGACCAAACACGATGCTGATGCCTTGGGTCGACATCAGGTTCTTCCGCGAACACGTCAGAATCCTGCAGAGAGATAAGGGTTAAATTATCTGGGAAAATAAGAGAGAGCTTGGATTTAGATGGTTGAGCTTGAAACAATGGATATAAATGAATAAAAAGTCACGAAACAAGGTTTTTCAAGTCAACATCAATGATCATCACAAAAAGAGACATCTCATTGCCACTGGAAAATGGTGGATACTTTCTGCACACATTCAGTAGATTTGTTAGCAAGGCCGATTTTTAACCCTTGAATGGCCCCTGTTGAAAACATATCTTATTTCAGTATTGGTAACTCAGTATATCATTTGTGCACGCAGCTTTGTGTACTCAAAGATCCAGGTTCAGCCACAACTAAACCGCTCACTTCATGCCACACATTCAGCACCGGCAGTCAACTGCGGAACATCTATTGACTCTACTGTATCTGAATAGGGAAAGTTACAAAATAAATCTGGATGGAGTTTCAGGGCAGAGAGGAGGTCTGGAGAAGGCTTGGGGACTGGATAAAACAGGGGCAGGAAATTAAGAAGCACATGCAACTCTTGTATATTACAGACATGCTGTAGGATTCTATGCCGCAATGAGATTATATTCTCTACTGTACGATCTGCAGTGACCTGCTTTTGTTTCACTGTACAGATTGCCTCGCCTTCTTCCTTTGTCATAATCCATTAGAAATATATTCCATTCTCTTCACATGAGCAGTACGCTACGCAGGGTGTATGAGGACTCAGTGGTTGTACTTTCTGGGGGAAAGCACAGAGAACGTGATACAGGGAGGCTTTTAGAGAAGTATTCTTCCTGAGCTGAGGCTTGGCTGTGCGACAAAGGCCCAGGCAGGGGGACCCACTCCGCTCCAGTCTCTACTCCCTCCGTGGAGGAGGCTGCCGCCCACAGGCATCCGGGCACGTTATGGAGTGAGGCCTGGAACAGGATGGAAGGGCTGTGGCGTGGGGCGCATTTCCAAGCTGTCAGTGGGCTCTTGACGGAGCGTTCTGAGGTGGGATGGGGTCCCTCCGTGCCCAAAACGGATCCACACAGGGCCTCTCAGCAGATAATTGCATCCAAAAGGTATTGTCAGGGTGCCAGGCCTAGGCACTGCAGCGCTGCGGCGTCTGAAGCTGGTCTTTTGGAAAGCCCTAAGTGATGTTATCTATGGCTTACATGTCATAAAACAAAAAGCAGTCTGTATATTGTCCAGCCTCACACTGTCATTGCCTAGATGTAGTGCACATGTATTGTAAGAAAACACACACTAGAATCCTCTGACCTTTTTCCCAGTTGTATGGAGTTAGGATTCTTTGTGACAACTACCATAATAGTTCAGTCAATCTAGCTGTTGTAAAGTATTGGTCTTCACAAAGTTTGCTGCTTCAGTGTTTTTAGATATTTTTGTCAGATGTTACTATGGTATACTGAAGTATAATTACAAGCATTCCATAAGTGTCAAAAGCTTTTATTGACAATTACATTAAGTTTATGCAAAGAATCAATATTTGCAGTGTTGACCCTTCTTTTTCAAGACCTCTGCAATCAGCCCTGGCATGCTGTCAATTAACTTCTGGGCCACATCCTGACTGATGGCAGCCCATTCTTGTCAGAATTTGTGGGTTTTTGTTTGTCCACCCACCTCTTGAGGATTGACCACAAGTTCTCAATGTGATTAAGGTCTGGGGAGTTTCCTAGCCATGGACCCAAAATTTCGATGTTTTGTTCCCCGAGCCACTTAGTTATCACTTTTGCCTTATGGCAAGGTGCTCATGCTGGAAAAGGCATTGTTCGTCACTAAACTGTTCTTGGATGGTTGGGAGAAGTTGCTCTCTGAGGATGTGTTGGTACCATTCTTTATTCATGGCTGTATTCTTAGGCAAAATGATGAGTGAGCCCACTCCCTTGGCTGAGAAGCAACCCCACACATGAATGGTCTCAGGATGCTTTACTGTTGGCATGACACAGGACTGATGGTAGCGCTCACCTTGTCTTCTCTAGACAAGCTTTTTTCCGGATGCTCCAAACAATCGGAAAGGGGATTCATCAGAGAAAATAACTTTACCCAAGTCCTCAGCAGTCCAATCCCTGTACCTTTTGCAGAATATCAGTTTGTCCCTGATGTTTTTCCTGGAGAGAAGTGGCTTCCTCGCTGCCCTTCTTGACAGCAGGCCATCCTCCAAAAGTCTTCGCCTCACTGTGCGTGCAGATGCACTCACACCTGCCTGCTGCCATTCCTGAGCAAGCTCTGCACTGGTGTACTAGCAGCAATATCCTTGCCTGTGAAGCCCTTTTTGTGCAAAGCAATGATGACAGCATGTGTTTCCTTGCAGCTAACCATGGTTAACAGAGGAAGAACAATGATTTCAAGCACCACCCTCCAGTCTGTTATTCTAACTCAATCAGCATGACAGAGTGATCTCCAGCCTTGTCCTCGTCAACACTCTCACCTGTGTTAACGAGAGAATCACTGACATGATGTCAGCTGGTCCTTTTGTGGCAGGGCTGAAATGCAGTGGAAATGTTTTTGGGGGATTAAGTTCATTTTCATGGCAAAGAGGGACTTTGCAATTAATCTGATCACTCTTCATAACATTCTGGAGTATATGCAAATTGCCATCATAAAAACTGAGGCAGCAGACTTTGTGAAAATTAATATTTGTGTCATTCTCAAAACTTTTGACCACGACTGTACAGGTATGCAAGAGCGCAATCAGGATAGACATTTAAGACGGACTGACATTCACATTAGGGATAGTCTGTCTAAACAGCTGATTTCAGTGTTACAGTATATGTCAATAAAAAATGTTTCTGGAAAGGTCACGATCAGGCTGTATCTCTCACCAATGGAAATATGCCTCTAAATCGTTAATCATGTGGGATGGTCAACATCTTGCTCTGCCATATGTCATTATAATATCGACCCGGCTTGTACATGCCATGCATATTTCTCAAGCTCATTACTAAAAGAAAGGCATGATGATGATCCAACCTGACATAATCGTTATGAATAATTATCCTCATCTCACTTTAAGCCAATAAATTATATTTTCCATAAAATATGCTATCATGCTACGTGTCAGAGCGAATCTGTATCAATGTACTGTGGTAGTTTATGTATAGTAATAATGCAATAGTGGTAGCTTTTGCAAAACCAATGTAGCAAGTACTGAACAGTGTCTCCCTGTGCCATAATGCTAGTAAGGCAAAGAACACTGATGTCTTGGAAGGAACTATATTGTGAAAAAAGTGCCATAATTGATTCCATACTAGAGCACTTACGTTCACAGGTGGGAGTGTAATTGCAGGAAGTTAAATTCACTGCCACCTATTTATCGGTGCTAGCAAAGCAGAATTAGAGATTTACTGTCACCGCATGCATGTGCTGTAAGAGTCTGGTAAAATATATAATTTAGGGGATGATTGGGAAAAACAGAGTTTACTGAAAGCCTGTACTTGAGGTGGACAATATGATGTGCACGTGCTTTTTATTTCATTTGACCTTGTAAATATAGTTTTATTCACCTGGTAAATACAGTCTATCCATGCATTTCACATTACTGTAGGTTGAGCTACTCTGTGTTTGCATGCATTGATGTCCATGTGACTAAGTGTTTTGGAGTGTGTCTTAGAGTGAAACCTGATTAAAATGTGTACACGCTATAATTTCCTATTTATGTCTGCAATTAACCTCAGCCCTGTGCCTGTGTACAGTGCATCACTGTTCTCTGCCTGTCTGACCATCAGCGTTTTAACTTAATTAGAACACTGAGATGATCTAAGGGTCTGGATTACCATGCCTAATGGTTCACTAATGATCTCAAATAAGGCAACTCAATTATTAAAGTAATTCCACTGTATATTATTATTATTAATTATTAAAGTAATTCCACTGTATATTCACAGAAGGAATATATCACCTTACTAAGTTCTCAGGATCATTCTGCCTCTGCACAATGGAGACTGGTATAACAGTGTTAATATGCTGACACTAGCTACTCCGCATCTCCTCTTCCTCTGACTACAAACGACAACTGCTACTACCTCTACCACTAGCTATACCTACAGAAAACGAAATCACACTTCAAATACTGCACACCCAAACGTGCATGCAATGACTAGTTACCAACGCCCTGGCATAGTGTTTCCAAAAAGCCGTGGTGGCATGCACAGCTCATATCAGCAATGTCCATCCTACCCTACCCAGAGAGGTGACCAGAGGGGACTCATGATTTGATCTGACGAATCATTGATGTCTCCTACATGAGCTGACGTGCACGGCCCAAGATGCCAATGGTAATTAATTAGCATCTAGTTTCTCCAGGCGGGGCATGACAGGAAATGGGAGCTGGACCATGATTGGGTCCCCTCCTTCTTCTCCACCACCTCCTCCTCCCCGCCTTCCCTCCTCCTCGCCTGGAAGGCTCCTCCTAATTGGGTCAGGATCACTGACTCCTTCAGGATCATGGGACAGATAATACATTGAGGTGGGGATGGGAAGAGAGGGAGGAAGGGCCAGGGAGCCTGAGGAGGTGGGGTGAGGAGGAGAGGGAGGGAGGGCCAGGGAGCCGGAGGAGGTGGGGTGAGGAGGAGAGGGAGGGAGGGCCAGGGAGCCGGAGGAGGTGGGGTGAGGAGGAGAGGGAGGTGGGGTGAGGAGGAGAGGGAGGGAGGACCAGGGAGCCAGAGGAGATGGGGGGAGGAGGGAGGGAGAGGGAGGAGGGAGAGGGGGGAGGGAGGAGGGAGGGGAGGGAAGGGGCCAGGGAGACGAGGAGGGGGGGAGAGGAGGAGAGGAGGTGGGTGAGAGGAGGGCGAGGGCCAGGGAGCGGAGGAGGTGGGGTGAGGAGGAGAGAGAGGAGGGCCAGGGCCGGAGAGTGGGGTGAGGGAGAGAGGGAGGTGGGTGGGAGGGCGAGGAGGAGGGGGGAGGGCAGGAGCGGAGGGGAAGGTGGGGTGAGGAGGGAGGGAGAGGGAGGGAGGAAGAGGAGGGAGGAAGGGGCAGGGAGCGAGGAGGTGGGGGAGGAGGAGGAGGGAGGTGGGGGGAGGAGGAAGAGGAGGAGGGCCAGGGAGCCGAGGAGGTGGGGTGAGGAGGAGTGGTGAGGTGGGGAGAGGAGAGGAGAGGGAGGGCCAGGGAGGGGAGGAGGTGGGGTGAGGAGGAGAGAGAGGGAGGGCCAGGGAGCCGGAGGAGGTGGGGTGAGGAGGAGAGGGAGGAGAGGGAGGTGGGGTGAGGAGGAGAGGGAGGGAGGACCAGGGAGCCAGAGGAGATGGGGTGAGGAGGGAGGGAGAGGGGGAGGGAGGAAGAGGGAGGGAGGAAGGCCAGGGAGCCTGAGGAGGTGGGGTGAGGAGGAGAGGGAGGTGGTGGGTGAGGAGGAGAGGGAGGGAGGGAGGGCCAGGGAGCCGGAGGAGGTGGGGGTGAGGAGGAGAGAGAGGGAGGGCCAGGGAGCCGGAGGAGGTGGGGTGAGGAGGAGAGGGAGGTGGGGTGAGGAGGAGAGGGAGGTGGGGTGAGGAGGAGAGGGAGGGGAGGGCTAGGGAGCCGGAGGAGAGGGAGGGAGGGCTAGGGAGCGGAGGAGGTGGGGTGAGGAGGAGAGGGAGGTGAGGAGAGGGAGGTGGGGTGAGGAGGAGAGGGAGGGAGGGAGGAAGGGAGGGCCAGGGAGCCGGAGGAGGTGGGGTGAGGAGGAGAGGGAGGTGGGGTGAGGAGGAGAGGGAGGAGAGAGAGGGAGGGCCAGGGAGCCGGAGGAGGTGGGGGTGAGGAGGAGAGGGAGGTGGGGTGAGGAGGAGAGGGAGGGAGGGAGGGAGGGCCAGGGAGCCAGAGGAGATGGGGTGAGGAGGGAGGGAGAAGGAGGGAGGGAGGGAGAAGGAGGGAGGGAGAGTGAGGGGAGGGAGGGAGAGAGGGCCAGGGAGCCGGAGGAGGTGGGGTGAGGAGGAGAGGGAGGGAGGGCCAGGGAGCGGAGGAGGTGGGGTGAGGAGGAGAGGGAGGGAGGACCAGGGAGCCAAGAGGAGATGGGGGTGAGGAGGGAGGGAGAGGGAGGGAGAGGGAGGGAGGGAGAGGGAGGGAGGGAGGGAGGGCCAGGGAGCCGGAGGAGGTGGGGTGAGGAGGAGAGGGAGGGAGGGCCAGGGAGCCGGAGGAGGTGGGGTGAGGAGGAGAGGGAGGGAGGGAGGGCCAGGGAGCCGGAGGAGGTGGGGTGAGGAGGAGAGGGAGGGAGGGCCAGGGAGCCGGAGGAGGTGGGGGTGAGGAGGAGAGGGAGGGAGGGAGGGAGGGAGGGAGGGAGGGAGGGAGGGAGGGAGGGAGGGAGGGAGGGCCAGGGAGCCAGAGGAGGTGGGGTGAGGAGGAGCGGGCGGGAGGGAGGGAGGGAGGGAGGGAGGGAGGGAGGGAGGGCCAGGAAGCCGGAGGAGGTGGGGTGAGGAGGAGAGGGGATGGGGGGTGGTCTAAGGCTCGGAGGTTGAAACTATAAGTGTCAGTCTCGTAAAGTGAACAGACAGCGCCCCATTTGATCTGAACTAAAAATACCCCATTGGACCAAACATTTGAGTTGAAGTGTTGAAAAGTTTCCAAGCAGAGAGCATCTTCTTGGTGCACTATGGCTAAACAACACTGCATTGGATCATGGCAGTTGAGAGCCAATAATAAGAGCTGTCCTAGACAGACCTATGTCATCCATTCTGGTTCAGCAGCACCCGTTGATTTTGATTCATCTCCTAGCCTTGGCTGTGGCTACCTACCACGCCTATAGAGGTTTTATTTCCACTCTGTAGTAAGGTCAGCAGGAATTTAAAGCCCATGGATTTTTTTTTAAGCCCTTGTGGTAAATGGTACCATGAACAGCAGTGACAAAAACACTTACAAAAAGGAGAATAAATAGAATGGTTAAGTGAAGGTACACTTCAGAGAATCTGGTTTCCTTGACCACATCATCACAATGCAAGTACACAGCTCGATATTGAAGCCAGACCCTATGGATTGAGGGAAAAAGGAACACTGGTTCCACACAGGCAGAGAATGAAGCCACAACAAAGCAGTCAGAAAACTTCATAGACTCCTACATTACTGAAGGCACAGCCAACCCAGCCAGGACTGAAATAAAACCGCTTAGTGAAGCCTGGGATCATAAACCACTCTTCCTTCTGGAATAAAAGTTGTTTAATATAGGAGGCAGGGACACACATTCACACACTCCGTCTCCACAGTGCCTTTTTGTAATCTCATTTGATATCCTCGATAAGGCAACATGCACCACGGATAAGCGTTTTTCAGCGTTAACTTCGTACACTCATTATTTTCCTCTAATTGTCTTTAGAATAATTTCTCAGTGTTCCCCCTCTTTTTCTCCTCTGGCAATCTCAGAGAGAATGTTCTATACACTGTGCCTGTGCGCCCTCCAATGCTGCTCAGCTCTTCGGGGGAAAAAAATGCAAATAATAAATAAATAAATCACACATGATCCCAATTTACTGTGGTCTGGTGTGAAATTTAGATTAGGCAAACGCATCTAGCCTATGAGAAATAAAGGGTGGGACTGGAAGTGAACGCGGTATGGCGCGAGACAGAGAGCGAGAAAGAGGGAGAGAAAGAAATAAGTGAATTAGAGCTAAACCACATCAGTAGGTAAGGGTGTGGCAGCCAAAGTCCTGGATCTGGTCCCTAGGGGCCCGTTCTTCTGCCATTCTTTCACATGAGACGTTCTGGCTTGATTATTTGCATGGTGAGAGGGCAGGGAGAAGTCATTTTGTGGTGGGGGCAGACTTGGAGGCACTGCCTGGGATTTACCCTGTCCCCACAATCCCCTCGCAATGAAACCGTGTGAGCAAAACAATGCGTCAGTAACATTACTTCACTCAGTCCATTGACAGTTGTTATGAGGATATTATTCAACATTCTATTATGCAAAGCTGCATATAGGAGCTGCAAAGAAGAGCTGAGAAGGACTGAGAAATAGGATAGAAATGCAGCTGAAATCATTCTTTGAACTAGGTGTGTCATTGCTGAAAGAGAGAGAGGGAGAGCGAGATAGGAAGAGGGAGAGGAGAGTGAGAAGAGGGAGAGAGAGAGAGAGATAAAGAGATAGAGATGTTTTGGGGTGATCTCTGCAGGCGATTCTGCATCGGGATATGAATGGGGGGGGTTGGACTTATTGAGGGACCTGGCATTCGAAAGCAAACAGACAAACACACACTCGTCCTCTGCTGCAGCCAAGGGGTATGTTCCAGTTAGGGAGGGGCTCATCAATCTAAAATGAGTCATTTGGCCTCCTGTGTGGGGTGGTAAATATGGAGAAGGGTAAGATGGGATAGAACACCTCTCCTGGGACATGGGTTTAGCCATATGGCCCCTTTAGCCTGGCCAGGACAGTCAGAGTGGACCGGGGCCAGGCAACTTGCACACGCAGGCAGCACTGAGGTCATTTCCCCGTGTCCTGTACACATGGGGCCGGGATGCCACGTTCGGGTGGGGGGAAGGGGGATAGGAGGTTCAAACTTAAGTTTCTACAGAGCTTGATGTTTTAGTGTGACCTCTCCGTCACCCTTTACTGTACGTTTGACCCTCTGTTGTCAATCTGCTTTTTAAAAACACTGGGCTAATAGAAAAAAATACTATTTCTGAGTTAGTAGTACTACTACTGTAGTACTGTAGCATTTACCTACTGCATTCTACAATGCATTCGAATTCTGGACATTGAATACAACATGTTCTGGCTGTGCTCCAATGACATTAACAGGCTGTGAACTTACTTCTGCAGGTGTCTGAAGAGTACTCTCATGGTGTCCTGGTTGGGTTTAGGGAGCTGAAGTACCAGCTTCTTCATCACCTGCACCTTCTGCTTGCCATCCTTCTTCTCTGTTCAGAAGGAAGATTTGGAGGAATATCGTTAAGAGTGACAACACTATAAAGATTGATTATCCAAATGTAGATGTTTGTCTGATTATTCATATTCAATTCAAGAGTTAGTGAGACTTTACTTATACTTTTTTTAATGGATGATCATTATTGTTATTACTGGAAACCATTAGAGCCTTTCTGTTACTGTAACACAACACTTAATGGCTGACCAATTAGCCATCCCAAGGGAACGTCCTAGTCTCCAATGGGGAGTCAGATGGGCCCTTACCCCTAATGCACAAGCCTTATATAGATGGTAAACTGTTTGGCAACATTGTGTCTGACCTATGACCCTTAGAAATTGGTAGCATCCATCATGTTGTGATAGCTGATGGGTAACACTCTTAAGACCGGACCTCCTCTCCCGATAGTGCATGCCTGCAGTACACTGTTCTATGGTAGGTAAGAGGAATACACCAATGAATTCACTCAAACACTGTGCATGTGTTTCAATGGGACTGGTGAGACTTTATTTGATTGTAATCAAACCAAATAGAAACCTAACACTATGGTCAGATCAGTTAGATAATCCCAGGGAGAAAATCCTCGATGATTTAGTCCTCAGGGGCCAGGCCAGGCGGGGACGCCAATACAACCAGCCCAGGGATCAAGCTCCTTTTCCACCCCGAATTCCACCCCAAAACAACTTTGCGTGTTATTAATCTGAACAGATGTTTGCTTTCTGTAATGCTACTCCATTTAGGAACAGTTGGGGAAACATGTGTGAATGTGTATGTTTGTGTTGCTGTATTTGCTAAAGAGGGAGAGAGTGAAAAGTACTTGTAAAATAGTTTTTGTTATAAAACAAGACAAATCCAGTCCTCAATCCCTGATAAATATGACAAGAAACTGCAACACTCAGTAACACATCTATAGTCCAAAAACTGTCCCACCCACTGTGGCACTACAGCCATTCAACACCTCCCATCCATCTGTTGAAACCTGCTACCTGTTTATTTATATCGACATCCTGCTAAAAGGTGACAATAACCTCATGCTTGCTCTATCCTCCCCGTGCTCACTGCTCAGCATGTTTCTCTGACCTCCAGAGGAACCCACAGGTTAGGTTAACACTAATGGCCTAATGGAGTCTCCTCAGCTCTGCCTGTTCTCATTACCCCAGGTTGTTAGCAGACAGTGCCGCAGAGCGAGGCGAGGACAATGTTTGGCCCCCTGTCTGTCGTACCGTGGAGGCTCCCCTTGAGCACGGCCAGAGCAGATGTCAGCATGTACACCGAGCTGGCACAGGCACAGGTGGCAGATGCCCACGTTGGGTGCCAACCCTGCCAGTTGGGCACAGATGGACAAACCCGTTCTGGGAGAGAGAGTAGGGCCCCTGACCTTCTGCTCTAGGTGAGCCTAGCCTGAGCCACGCTCTGCTCTGTGCCGGCCCGGCAGGATGGAATGTGTGGCAGCTTTCCCTGCCCTGCCTGGCGGACAGGCTGTCACTCTGAACAGAGTTTTCCTGTTTAGTTTTTGTCCTCAGTATCAACTATGACTGGAAGTTATCACTGAGATTATCAGAATTGACTAGAGATGACCCACTCTGAAATAGATCAGGCAATATATCTGTTAAGTACAATGCAGAACTGTTTATAAGAGGCACCTGCTGCTACACAACTAATCAATAGTAGGCCTCACCCTAAAATATTTAATCTAGTCTACATTACTGGCACAAAGGACATGATTCATTCATTACTTTGCCGTTGGTGGCTGACATATTGGAGATGCCCCTCAGCTCACCATTGTGGACAGATGGCGAGGACAGTGTCATTAATTTAAAGCAGGCTGAAATTCCCTGTTATGATTATAGCATCTACATTTGCTGATTCACTCCAATGTACCACACACTGAAACATACAACCTGACCCATAAAGTCACACAGGGTCATATAATATGGCACTGGATGAGCAAGGGAGCCAGAAGAATACGTGTAATACTGCTCTTCACACAAGTACTCTAAACTGGAAGATAATTTTCAGCCTTCTTATAAATTAAGTTGTGATTATTTAATTGACTGAGCTGACTTTTGGGAACCATAGCAAGCATAGGACATTAAGTGTGGTACCATTTCCTGGAAGACCCAATTTCCTTTTTTTGCAAATTCAATATTGTTATGAATCTGGCTCGGACAGGAGTAAAGCCTCTCGATAATGGGAAACATCTCAAGGGAGAGAGCGTACCCCACAGAAGACTAAACGAACATTAGTCATGTCAACTTTAGTCCCCGGCTGCAGCATTAGGCAGCTTTCGGCCACCTAGAGGGGATTGAGTGATTTATGAGCTGCTATGACAACAGACCATTACAACTCCCCATCCAGGTCTGTATACAACAACAAACAAACACGCCTGTGCCAATGAAAATCAATACTGTGTAAGGGGTGTAACCATGGAATAGTCCTTTGATCCCGAACAAATATTTAAGAATTGCTGATCTGTATGGATTGGAACAAGAAGGTAAATGGCAAAGAAATGCCTACAAACTTTTTAAAACCTTGTAAGCCTGTAAGCATTTCACTGCACCTTTTATACCTGCTGTAAACTGTGTATGTGACAAATAACATTTGATTTGTTTTGTTTTAAGGTATCAAGTTGGGACAATAAGATTTATGGAATTGTAGACATTTTTGCAAAGTTACTTTCTTAATTATTAAACATACGCAATGTAAATCTTAAAACCCAATGTTCGAAATTTGAGAATGTCAATAGCTGTATATTCATAGAGATTTCTGTGAGAACCAATTACTGTACAATAGCCGCAAGTTTTTCTTCTCTTTTTGATTTTTGATAAGTGTTTCAATCGGTGACACAGTGACTAGATACACATTCAGCATCTAAACCGCTGTGGATATAATCCCATTACAAACGGGGAAATGTATTTTGTTTCAGGAAATCTAGCTGTACAACCTCATCTCCAGGCTTAGTGTACTGCATGGCTCACTAAAGCCCCGTCAAGGCAAATATTAGCAGAAAGCAAATAATCCTGCAGGTTGTGATTAAGATTTTAAATGGATCCCAATTGTGTGCTTTTGGTTAATGAATAACAAAGTCTTAGAGGATGGTGTCTGTAATATATTAAACATGAAAAGCTCCTTGATGAAATATAGAAACTAGATATTTTTGCATTTCAAACGATTTGCATGGCCAGCTTACTTCACATGCAAATGAGGTGGAGTTTTAGAGTGTTATAAAAATAAATGAACTAATAAGTACCATTGAATGCCCCCATTTCATAAAAAGGTAGTATCTTCAAGTATCTTGATCAAAGGTAAAACTTAATTATGAAGAATTATTATTCTCAAACTGAAACATTACCAACTTAAGAGGTCTCAGCACAATAGTACAGAAATGCAGAATTTCTAGATAGTTTTTTCTAATTTGTTCAATCTTTAATTGCATATTCATGGGAGTACTTTGCACCACATTCCCCATTACAGAAAATACACAAACACAATTAATCCTCATTATGAACACAGATCGTAAGTTAATAATCCATCCGTGATTATGATGAGTGCTCTGTATGCACTCAATAAGTCAGAAATAGAAACAAACCAAACAATGTCAAACTAATAAAAACACCTCCTTTGTATGCTACAGGACTTGTAGGGCTCTGGGCTCTCTGCCTTTCTGTGATGTGCGCTTTGCATTTGAGGTAGACTATAGAATGCTATTCTTTCCTACCGTAATGGTGATTATCAGCTAAACTAGGCCAGATCATAAATATGTGCAATTATTCATATGTAAATGATGTGTCTCTTTGAAGCTTGAGAAGTGGTGTGTAACCCAAGATGACCTGGAGCTAGCACTGGACTTTACCATTTTCCAAGAAAATATGCATCTGATGAGCTGACCCAATTGTAGTCTAGCCCTTCCTGTAGAATGTAGGATATCACCATGATAACTATTTACAAATGTATTTCAAACAGATACCAAACACTATAGAGAAATGTGATTCTCTCTAACATTTGTCATGTACATGCATTTTGTCTTCCCTAATCTACAGTATTATCATAAATACTGAATGCACATTGGTAAAGTTATTGCTTAAGTGGGTGAATCAACCAACCCCAACTGAGACACAATAGATTCCCTCGATTCTCTCTGCAGTAATGTCTTTCCGCTGTGTTTCTGTTTCTGTGTCAGTATGGTGAATAAATAAGAGCCATGTATAAAACTGTGCTAGCTAGTTAATGATGTGAAAGTCCCTGGCTTGGTGGAGATGCGGAGGGAGCAGTATTTAGACTTCTCTCCTCGCCTGGGTGGCCCAGTTACTAACACACGACTCCATTTCCATGGTTACTGAGGGCATAGACAAGGACCCAACAACTTGGGTTAGTATTTTAGAATTTACAGAAGAAGAATTTTAAGGATGCTGGCCAATCTGAAGTTCTGGGAGCCAAAAAATGGAATAATAATAATATGCCATTTAGCAGACGCTTTTATCCAAAGCGACTTACAGTCATGAATAAAATCACTTATGTTAAGAGAGTTCAAATCTTTGTAAATATCAACAGTTAAACACATGCATGCATGTATACAAAGAGCATCCACTGAGCCATGAACATGTAACATCTTAGTTATTGTAACCAGTGTAAAAATGTCTCAACCCAAGACCCGACCGAAACATTTACACTTTTACGGCAACACTATCAGTGCCGCCACCATCCTCTACAAAACTATAGAAACAGTGCTTTAACAAGATCAAACTCAATTCATCAGTGTTTGCATTGATTTGCTTGCGAAACAAAAAGGAGTGTTTGTCTGCGAGACAGGTGGCTGGAGATTCCAGATACCCCTCTCTGATACTGAGGCCCACATGAATAATAGAACGTGGTAAGTTGGTGCCAGGATCACGGCCTGCAAACACAGCTGCTCCTCTCAGCCTTCCAAGAATGAACAGCTCACTTGGAAGGGAGACAGTGAGACAGGGCCTGCATGGGCCCCACCTGAGGACCTCAGACTGAACAACTAATCAAACCTACGGGGCTGAGAGGGAGAGAGGCGAGAGGGAGAGAAGGGAAGGGACAGAAGGGGGCATCTGTTCATACAAAAGTAGAGAGAAAACAAATGAAACAGGAGACCGGGGAAAGAAAGGAAGGGAGGTGTAGGACTGAAGATATGATAAGTGTTTGCATTGTGTTTAGGATATTTAGGAGATAACAATATCATGTCTCTCTCCATTATCCGTGGCTGAGAAAATCCTTTCATATGATGTGAATGGACTGGACTACATCCAATGCTACACTAACCATCATGTTGTAGTACTTGTAAGTCTCTTTGTCCAATGGGAGCCAAGCTCTTGGCCCATGATTCTGGTAACGACACTGCCCATTCTTAACAACACATACACACTGCCCATGATTCCAGTAAGCTGCAACACTGTTGGCTCTTGGAACAGTGGTTTCAATTAGAGACCTGGTGATGTATACTGAAACCTGCCTAATCAGCTCACCTCCCGTCCACACAAGCCATGGACCCATAGGAACTCCCCCTAATGCAACCCCATTACAGGGCCAGCCAGCACGGGAAACGCGACTCTAATGATGACGACCCATCATCTCCATCAGCAGGAGACTCGCTCCCAGTCTCAAGGTCCTAAATGGGGCACGAAGTCAAACAACTCTACTAATAATGTGTTGGCTGCAGATGAGGCCTTGCTCTCATGTTCTGGACAGTTCAATCAGCTCGTCTTAAATGAAGTGGGGCAGGTGATTGCCATGTGCTGATGCTAAATCTTCACAGTCTTTTCTTCAGTATCTTTGCAATGTAAATGAATGGTGTACGTCACCATATGGTTGCTAATACATCTATTTAGTTGCACAACTACATTCATTTAGTGGCAAATCTGTGGTGACTCCACCCCTGGTCGTTTCATCTCTACAGTGGAGCACGGTGTAGCAGGTTATCCTAATTACACCTCCTGCTATGAAGGGCTTCCTACACTGCTAATTAGTTGTCTAAACGCTGTCTGAGACTCATCAGCCGTGCACATACTTATCTGATTAACTGGATGTAACCACCTTGAGCGCCAGAGGGGATTCTGGCCTACATTCTGGAGCATGTAAATATTTATTGCCAAATTATAACACCACCTTGGGATTGTTTTTGCAATCTGTTTCCGGGGGCTTCTAGGGTCTCTGAGAGAATATTTGGGGATGGGATGGGACAGCATTGATAACAGCAGGCACTTTTGTACAAATGACACATATTGAACAAATTAAAAAGAAATAAGGGGTAGAAGAAAAAGCACATATTAAAGCACATTATTCAATGTCATTTCCTTATGTTTTATCCATGGAGCTCAGGAGAGGGCTGATGGCCCCTGTACTCCAACCCTGAGGTGGGGTTACAGGCTCCAGGTAGCATTTCAACACAAGAGCACAACCTTTAGTAGTATTGTTTACACAAGGTTAACTCTGGCGTCAGTAGGACGGCAGCTAGGGTGGGAGCCTGAACACTGGCATGATGGGGGTTAATTGAGTCGTGGGTTGGGGGTGTGTGTGTGTGTGTGTGGAGGGGTGTGTGTGTGTGGTGGAGTAGAGTGGAAGTACGACGACACATGACTCAGTGTCAGATCTGATCTGGTGTTAGCTTCTGTCTGGACTGCCAGCCCTGGCTGCCGTGACCTTTGGCCCGTAGAATTCCCCCACTTACGACCAGGGGATCTCAGGGGTGAGAGAGAGAGGTGACCCACCTCACAGTTCTACAGCGACCTCTTTTGACTGGACAGATAGAAAGACGCAGATAATTCTGCTACCTTTTTGAGACCACTTGGTGTAAGTGGAGTCAATGATACAGTACATTGTACATGAAGCACAGAATGATATCCTGCACATACTGTGTGGATCCATCCGAATGTTCGAATAGTTTATTCACCGCCTCCAAATGCAACTTAAAGTTCTAACTCTGATGTTGTTTTCCTCTGGGCCCATACATACTGTACGTGCCAAGTGACCATGTGGAAAGATGTCTATTGATTTCACCTCTGTTGCTAAGCAGATATTGGAGTATCAACTTAGCATACTGTACCACAGCTCAATCCTCAGGTGGGAGCGCGAAGAGCAGAGAGATGACGGCAGTAGAGAGATAGAGAGAGAGAGCGCGCGAGACTAGTAGCAGAGACGAGAGAGAAGCGTATAGAGAGAGCTAGACTGAGACGATCGATATCTATATCGTAATATACTCTCTCTCTCTCTCTCTCTCTCGACTATCTCTCTCTCTCTCTCTCTCTTCTCTCTCTCTCTCTTCTCTCTCTCTCAGCTCTCTCTGAATGAAAAATCATTTAGTGTTTAAGTGAGCTGCCTTGAGGACAATGTTTCTAGAGGCAAATAAAAGCACATGGAGTACAGTATAAACAGGATTAATGCTAACACACCACAGGGCCTGATGCATGTGTTACTATGTAAAAACCCAGGCTAGCCTGCCTATTTCACTAGTAGAATATCAACCGTTACACAGTTCTGACACAAACCATTATTAATCTGGAGATTTTCATTACATTCCAAATTTTCACTCTTCTTGACCTCAAAATGAAGGTGACTGAAACCTGACTGCAAGTGCAAGCTTTGCGAATATGCTTGAATATGCTGACACTAAAACTGATGTGCTGATGACAAAAAAAAACACACAAAAAACAGCTAGGCTGTATACTCACTGATGGCCTCCACAAACAGCTCAAATAATGGGAAGGGGAACAGGGGCTCTGGCAGCTCCCGGAAAAACATCTTGAGTGCCCCGGTGACGACGTTGATGTCCTCCCATTGGCTGTCGTCCAGGTTAAACTCCTCCTCTGGGACAACACCAGGAAGAGAGGGGGCAAGAGAGAGGGGGGGAAGAGGGGGGAGAGAGAGGGGGGAGGGGGAGACAGAGAAGGAACAGGAACAGTGAGAGAGAGAGAGAGAGAGAGAGAGGAGAGAGAGAGAGAGAGGAGAGAGAGAGAGAGAGAGAGAGAGAGAGAGAGGAGAGAGAGAGAGAGGAGAGAGAGAGAGAGGAGAGAGAGAGGAGAGGAGGAGAGAGAGAGAGAGAGAGAGAGAGAGAGAGAGAGAGAAAGAACAGGAGAGGGAATAGAGAGGGAACAACACAGCTTTAATTGGGAGAATTAGCGAGGGCTAATTACTATACTAATGTTTACCTGCTAACAGCGGCGCTTGCTAACAGGCTCCCAGCTACCCAGAGGTCTGATGAAGCCACATATGTTGGATTGGGTTTCTGTTCTAGACTGACAGATACCCTCTGCTGAAATCAGTTAGTTCTGATAGGGCTGAGAATAGAGAAAACCCCTGGTAGTGACAGAGACAGGCCATCAGGTGACAAAGTGATTCAGGGGCACCAGGCTCAATATGCCACAGGAGGGGTGCAGGATGATGCAAAGCCAAGATGACAGGCCTGGAGGTCTGAAGACAGTGGAATGGTACAGCACAAAGTCACATTATGCTGTATGTTGAAACTGGAAATAAGCCATCGTTCATTTCAGACAACCCTGTTACATGATCATAGGAATATAGTGTCATAGGAACTTCAGAATCATTTTCACAGAGATAATTATCTTAGAGAGATTTTATCCATGCTTTGAAATTAGAGTAATGTATTTGGCATGTCAAGATGATCTTAGATCTTCCCTTCATTCTTTGGTCAACCAAAAACAAAGGCAATGTGTTGGAGAGCCAGACTCATAGATAATGACATAAAGCGAGTGGGTATTTCTTTCTTTTTCTGGACAGTTTTAGGTATTCCCTAGCAGAAAGTCCAGACTTTCAATTAGCCAGCCTCTCCAGTGTGTGCACTTGACACATCTGAGCTGATTGCTAATCAGCCCACGGTTTCCTTGTTTGTACCGAGTCCTGGTACAAAGACCCACTCAGGGAAACTGAACCTGCAGCGTTCTATGGTCCTGAAGGACATAGTAGCCTACTACATGGTCAATGTTTTCAACCCACTCTCACTTGAGATTGTACTGTACTGGCTCTGTATAACTATGGGGGTTGGGAGCACATTCAGGATAAATGGAATGTGTGGGACAGAATGTAGACACATGGTGTCATTGTGTCAGAATGCTCGGAATGTGCAAAATGTTGATGATGTCACTCTCTCCTCAATGTCCCGCATCACAAACCACTTCTTTAATCTATAGGACTGCAGGGCACAGTAACAAATAATGGTGTATAAAGAAGGTTGCTAGCTACCTCAAGACAGAAAAATACATTCCAGAATGATAAATTAGGCTAAAGGTCAACCAGTGTATTCTTTATTCTCAGAGCCAGGACAACAACAAACGTTATCTTGTTGGTTTGCTGGAGAAATCCCCCAGGAGTCCCTTACAGGAAACATTGGATAATTCAGATGAAGTACGTAGACGTGTTTCACTGGAGACACAGATCTGACTTGAAGTCTCATGAGGGATGCTTTATCATCCTTGCTTTTACTCTGAAAGACCCCATTCTTAAGGTATTCATCAATAATTTTTTATTTGCCAAAGAATGCCTTGTGATCAGTTACTCATTCACCATCAAGAGAAGGTCTCTACAGTTATTCATAATTAAGCTGTAAAGTAGAATTACTCAGTAATTACTCAGAATCATCCATGATTTCAACAGAACACACTGTATGAACTGTATGAACTGTATGAACTGTATGAAGTCAACTACTGTTAATCCATAACTCTAACTATATTAGTTTACTGGATATGTGGCTGTATAACAAACACTATAACATACAGTCAATCACAAGTGAATTAAACAACAGAACATACCTTGGTCAACCAAGAATCGTAACTTCTGGATGGTGGCAAGATTACCACTCACTCTGTAGATGCCATCAGCCTCTAAACCTGGTGGATACAAGTTAGACATTATACACAAGCAGATTTGACAAGACTACGTTTTGATTTGGACTTACAGTGGGGGAAAAAAAGTATTTAGTCAGCCACCAATTGTGCAAGTTCTCTCACTTAAAAAGATGAGAGAGGCCTGTAATTTTCATCATAGGTACACGTCAACTATGACAGACAAATTGAGAGAAAAAAAATCCAGAAAATCACATTGTAGGATTTTTTATGAATTTATTTGCAAATTATGGTGGAAAATAAGTATTTGGTCACCTAAAAACAAGCAAGATTTCTGGCTCTCACAGACCTGTAACTTCTTCTTTAAGAGGCTCCTCTGTCCTCCACTCGTTACCTGTATTAATGGCACCTGTTTGAACTTGTTATCAGTATAAAAGACACCTGTCCACAACCTCAAACAGTCACACTCCAAACTCCACTATGGCCAAGACCAAAGAGCTGTCAAAGGACACCAGAAACAAAATTGTAGACCTGCACCAGGCTGGGAAGACTGAATCTGCAATAGGTAAGCAGCTTGGTTTGAAGAAATCAACTGTGGGAGCAATTATTAGGAAATGGAAGACATACTGATAATCTCCCTCGATCTGGGGCTCCACGCAAGATCTCACCCCGTGGGGTCAAAATGATCACAAGAACGGTGAGCAAAAATCCCAGAACCACACGGGGGGACCTAGTGAATGACCTGCAGAGAGCTGGGACCAAAGTAACAAAGCCTACCATCAGTAACACACTACGCCGCCAGGGACACAAATCCTGCAGTGCCAGACGTGTCCCCCTGCTTAAGCCAGTACATGTCCAGGCCCGTCTGAAGTTTGCTAGACTGCATTTGGATGATCCAGAAGAGGATTGGGAGAATGTCATATGGTCAGATGAAACCAAAATATAACTTTTTGGTAAAAACTCAACTCGTCGTGTTTGGAGGACAAAGAATGCTGAGTTGCATCCAAAGAACACCATACCTACTGTGAAGCATGGGGGTGGAAACATCATGCTTTGGGGCTGTTTTTCTGCAAAGGGACCAGGATGACTGATCCGTGTAAAGGAAAGAATGAATGGGGCCATGTATCGTGAGATTTTGAGTGAAAACCTCCTTCCATCAGCAAGGGCATTGAAGATGAAACGTGGCTGGGTCTTTCAGCATGACAATGATCCCAAACACACTGCCCGGGCAACGAAGGAGTGGCTTCGTAAGAAGCATTTCAAGGTCCTGGAGTGGCCTAGCCAGTCTCCAGATCTCAACCCCATAGAAAATCTTTGGCGGGAGTTGAAAGTCCGTGTTGCCCAGCGACAACCCCAAAACATCACTGCTTTAGAGGAGATCTGCATGGAGGAATGGGCCAAAATACCAGCAACAGTGTGTGAAAACCTTGTGAAGACTTACAGAAAACGTTTGACCTGTGTCATTGCCAACAAAGAGTATATAACAAAGTATTGAGAAACTTCTGTTATTGACCAAATACTTATTTTCCACCATAATTTGCAAATAAATTCATAAAAAATCCTACAATGTGATTTTCTGGATTTATTTTTCTCATTTTGTCTATCATAGTTGACGTGTACCTATGATGAAAATTTCAGGCCTCTCTCATCTTTTTAAGTGGGAGAACTTGCACAATTGGTGTCTGACTAAATACTTTTTTCCCCCACTGTATATGACCAAAAATGACCAATTTAGATACAATTCCTGGGTTTTTCGATAGACAAAGTTTACATTCATTGCAGTGGAATGGATAGTTGACATCTTGCCTAGATAGTGGCTTGGACTTGGACAACATATGGCTCTATTTCACTGTAACATTTTGAGTGTGACTTTGATTATAGAGTCTGACTTCCATTTGGTTTTGCATCCAAGTACAGGAGACCAGCCTGCCAAACCAACTCAACAGCCTTTGACAGATTGTCATGCTTTCATTGTCCATACTCTAACAATAAATTAAAAAGTGACCAGCATTTAAATACACAAGGCTGGAGGCTTAAAAGTTGAAACACAGGCTAGGCTACAGATTGTAATGCTAAATATTTGAGTCACACTGTTGTCAGTGCAAACTAACACTGCCGCTGCATAGAGGTAGCTGGGGCGACACTTTCCTCTGGCCCTTTCTATCAATTGCTCTAATGAATGTCCGTCCACATTCCCGAGCAGTTGACAGTGGCACGCTATGTCCTGTACCACTGTCACTGGTGGGGTAACTTGAGGATATGGTTGATTTTTAAAGTAAAGAAGACGTACATTTCATTCTTTGCAAGGCATTCTTGTATAACGTCCTGGCTATTTTCTTCTGCTCAAGTGTTAAGATGTCCAGAGGAATTTCACCCCAGTGTTTGGCCCTTTGTTTACATAGAAAGCAGTCAGAAGTTGTTTGTTTGTTCTTTCCCTGCTGTGTCCAGAGCCCAGCCAATGGCCTCCCAAATGTTGTTTGTGTGTGTGTGTGTGTGTGTGTGTGTGTGTGTGTGTGCGGGTGCATGTGTGTGGGAATGTGTGTGCGTGTGTGCGAGTGAGTGAGTGAGTGAGTGAGTGAGTGTGTGCGTTTGTGTGTGTGTGTGTGTGTATGTGTGCGAGTGAGTGAGTGAGTGAGTGAGTGAGTGAGTGAGTGAGTGAGTGAGTGTGTGCGTGCGTGTGTGTGTGTGTGTGTGTGTGCGTGTGTGTGTGTGAGTGAGTGCGTGCGTGTCGAAAGGTTTATTTTCTAACACACTAAAGTCCATCATGTATCAAGAAATGCAACAGACCTTTAGATCATAATCATTACAGTTAAAAGACGTTCTTAATCATTATTATTATCTCAGCGTGTTTATCGGGCCACAGCAATTTTACCCCCAGATAACTAATAGTCCTGAACAAATGTTCAGCCAAAACCACAAACGGGACCCATTACACAAACACATAATTCACTCTCAATTTCAGCGCGTTATAAACAGTCTGAAGTGGACTCGGAATTGGACGGGGACCAGGAGTGAGTGATTTGGGATGCTGAGGAGCATTTTCCTCAGGGTTCAGCCCCTTTGCCTGGCCAGCTATGTGACAGAGCCTGGGAAACTACTGATCACACACATTGTGTGAGAACACTACAAGTCAATGACCGGGATACACGTCTTATAAAACAGGCACTCTCAACTATTGGTCTTTTTATATTCACTCTCAAATGTCAAAACAGAGGGGAAGTGTAAACAGTGGTGAAACGCTGAAGCAGCTACTGTAACTGTGTGAGATGAAGCATCACTGGGGTGGACAGGCTGACTCGACAGGGTCAGGGTGTGGAGAAGGGTCAAACTCCCCAATACAGGAGGAGGATAAGACAGTCCATACTTAAATTATTTCCCACACACATCTTATCCATTGTTGGTTTATTTCCCATAAACAAAGTATTAATTAAATAAAACAATTTTAGGAAAAGTGCATACCTCTTTTTTCAACGGCCTCCACACACTGCCTGACGAACTTTGGCACAGTGGTCCCTTCCCGCTCGCAAAGTGCCAACAAGTGACACCCAAACACTCGATCTGTGAGGAAAAAGACTTGATTTGTTCAGTAAAAAAATCCATTTCCCAGAACTACTGAATAAGAGACCGTGTAAAAATATAGAAATTAGCAGTCATCATCATCTATTGCATTTAATTGCATCAAAAGTCCTCAAACGTGGAATGTGCTGAAATGTCTGTTTTCAGATCTCAACTTGGTGGAACGGTAAAAGGTCTGTTTAATAAGTCATTTCCATTCACACAATCTCATTAATACTGTCCATTGATCATCATCATCATTATGTGGAGGGATAGGTAATTATCTCATAGCATGAGTAGTAACACTCATCGCTCTTGACTCCTACTGCCCTGCTCTCCTCTGGTGGCGCTACTAACAGTAGGCTACATGGATTCCACGGCCACATTGGTAAAGGATAAACAATCTAATGTTTAATCACACACTTAGCATTTTATCGCTAACATTTTTTCCCATGAACCCTGAGTCTCCCAGGCCGCTTTGCTACAATCAGAGGGAGAGGGGGGCCACATTTTCTTGCCTTATATGAACATTCCCATTGCTTCATTACTCTGCTTTTGTCCATTTAAATATGCTGAGGCGTCCCTCATTTAACCTGTTCTTCCTGGCAATAAACTCAGGCTTCTGTGGTCACTAACTCCGGTCAGTTCATCTCTAGTAGACACCCTATAGGGCTTGCAAAAGCTAGGGTTAGCAAAGCATACCTCATCAATCATAGACTGGAATTCAAACTGACTGCACAGAGGTACACTTTCTCACTCATCAACTGGCTTATGTTACAGTATCGGGACTCTCGAACAGTGCTGTCTCTCTAGCACTGTGCAACATCAAAGATTGCCCTCTCTTGTTTATACACTGGAGGGGAGGGTGCACCAAATACATAAATGACTGCGAGCACGGCACCTTTGCATACAAAATGCACTTCCCAGCGCTCGGCAGATAAGCAAGAGAAAAGACGAGGAGAGGGGAAGGGGGGCAGAGAAATGGAGCAAAATTACCCCTCCTAAAGGAATTCAAATAACCCTCGCGTCGCATGGATTTAATTTGCATTCTGAAGTACGATAGGAAAGAGGGGGGAGGAAGAGGGACCTGATTTGAGGAAGCACACTCTCTGAAGTGGCTTGCCCACCAGCCTTGCCAAATAGGACAGTCTGGAGGCCACCTGCCCCACTCCTTAATCCAGAAGTATTTCATTTATTCCGTCAATAACGTCCTCTCCCTTTGATCTAGCGTTTGTCCCGTGGACACAACATTAAAGGGTCTCCTTGAAGCTGGGGGAAATTCCAAATACCGTTACCTTCTTCTAAGGATTGCAAATGTGCTTAAATATGCCCTTTAATGGTGTATTTTCCTTCAACCGTGAGCTCAATAAATTAGTTCCCCCTTAGAGGAATGGATTCTGTGGTTGCCGGTTGGATTGGCATGGTTTGTTCAAGTAAAATGCATTCGGTTTAATTTGATCAATCACTGTTGTTCTGTGACTCCTAATAAACATGGCGAGACCTTTTCAAATCAGTATAATAACTCATTATCATCACTAGTTATTCTATATTTACAATCAATTAGAAAATAAATTGTGACATCTGGGAATATACAGACACAGTTAACTCTCTTTTTTTTTTTTTTTAAGCGCTGTCCTAATAGAAAAAGATGACAACATGTAGAACACATTTTGAAAGATTTGTGTTCTTCACAACATGTGAGGTGTGGTGGAAAATAATACACTTATACTGGTATATTTACAACAGAATACTCTGATACCTTTGATGATGCCTTTCTCCTGTAGAGTCTTCATAGAGGGCCGTCTTGATATGAACTTTTTGAGTCTGTTCTTCACTCCATTCTTATCAGCACTGTCCGACATGCTGTAGTTGAGCTTGGAAGACTTGAAAACTTGTCAGGAACACAAAGACAGAGACACACGGTTAAATGGCAACAAGTGAAAGGGAAAGCTAAGGTGTTTAAATGTGTCTTTAGAAAGGCTCAGTAGGTCTATATGCCTTTACAATGTTCAACCAGCAAAGTGGAGGTGGATATCATGGTTCCCCTCATCTCTCTACCTGACCCTCGCTGTTCCCCTCTCTCTCTCTCGTTAGAGTCCCACTGTTATTTATTAATTAGGCATCTTTCCAGGAGTCTCTCCCATGGCTGTCCTTTTCTATTATTCATTCCAATTGAACTTCTCCATGTCTAGAGGAATTCCCTGCAGTTTTTGAAAGTCCGGGTCCTGCTTGTCATTCTAATAAAAACACTGCTCCTCCCAAATGAATCAAATGACCTATTTTGTCTACGAACTAGCTTTGCCATCCAAGAAACAAGTTGGATATATTTCTTATATTACAGTTGGGTTACACAGAGGTGCAAAGCAAATAATATTGTTGTCAGGTAATTGTATATAATTTTCTGAAAACATACAGTAGGACCTACAGTGGAAAACAAGCTAACCGTGATGCTCTCCAGTTTGTGTAAAGGACTGTCTTTTTCATGGCCATAAATTGACATGAACATAGCCAGAATCAAAGGTTTAAGCAGCTCAAGATAACAATAAGAGACTGGATCTTGGCCTCTATGTCCCTGGCCCCTAATTAGAGATTTTAATATGATCATCCAACATCAATATATTAGTCTCGCAGCGCTTAAGGTGACGAGATTGATTTGAACCGTTGACAGGGATTAACATAATTGCTACTTGACATATGATGACATAATGTTAATTAGCATGTTCTTGTGTCATGTTCCTACAAGAGCCATAATTGAAATCAACAGTCACCACACACATTTTGGGCATATAAAAAATAAAACACAAAAAGTGCCACTAAAAATCAGGAAAGCTGTCAGGCCTTATCACGTTGGTGGGTAAGGGAAATGAGCACACATACATTATGCAAATGTGAGAGCAACCATTTCCCTAGAAAAGTTATGTTTTGAGCAATTAAATGCCTACAGAAGCACAGATAATAGAAAACTTTTAATCAGCATACCTCTGAGTTCAAGCTTGTACTAACACGTCAATAACTGTTTTGATAAGCAACTGTAGTAGAACTATAGTCGTTGGAGACAACTTACTGAGTGAGCGTCTGTGTTCAGGTTCCTTTGTGCAGGGGGAATCAGGTGCAGGTCTTGGCAGTGACAGTGTCTTGCTAGGCAACCCATGTCTGGGTAGGTACTCTGTGCTGTTTGCGTTCTGTATGCCAGGCTTGCCAGAGGCCTGTCCTCCAGCTCCCTTAGACTACAACAGAAAGGAGGTTACAACCTTTCAAAGGTTACTGGTTGCATACAGTAACTCATTATTATCACTCATTATTAAGTAAAGCAGGTCTATGCAATTTTCTGCACTATGTGGAACATAAAATCATACGTTTGACCTGATAAATAGTCAATGATTTATGGAATTGTCTTACTTTCATTTTGAGAAGCATGTTATGACTAAGCTATATTCTGAATGATTTAGTCATAATTTCAATATCCAAAATCATAAACACTTCAGAAATGTTGAACTTCAGATACACCATCTGTAAGAAACAGGAAACTGCTTACCAAGTTGTCAGCTGTGCTTTTAATAGCATCATGCCATTTACATATTGTGGGGTAATTGTCAGCCTGGAGAAGGAACTCACTGCCAGAGCTGGTTGTTATCTGGAACAGAGAATGTTCAAATTGACCTCAATAAAGGTACAACAATAAACAGGTCTTTACCTAATGCATTCCCATGAAGCGGAGCATAATGCAAACTGAATAGCAAAGGTTCAAATTCATAACACCCTAAACTAACAATAAGTATTTACATGTTAATATCATTTTAATGACACCCACTGATCCACATGAGTTTGTAAGACAGTGCTCACTCCAGCATCAGCAGACCTTGCACTTGACACTCATTCCCTTGGTCTGTTGAGTCTTATCAGCAATGTGCCTGTTAATATATGTGTGCTCTCTGTGTTTGACAAGAAGCTCACGTTGTGCAGGGTGTGTGTGTGTGTGTGTGTGTGTGTGTGTGTGTGTGTGTGTGTGTGTGTGTGTGTGTGTGTGTGTGTGTGTGTGTGTTCCAAAAGACGAGACAAATGCAGACTGTATTCTCAGAGGGGAAAACATAATTAGTGTGATACTTGTCATCTTAATATCGGGCCTGTTCTGCATCTCTGCAACAGTGTCGTAACAGCATTTGGCACCGTCAAACGGAATAACTGTACTGTTAGTAAAAGTATTTGAGAAACCATGACATCAAGGTCAGCATTGTCAAGTGTGGTTGAAATTACAGCTGATTACATTTTGCTCATGTTTTGTGATGGAAATGATAAAAATAATATCAAAGGAGATTAAATGGTATTTCATACCATACATAATGAAGAAACTTATCTTCGCAGTTATCTTCCTAAATTAGTTAAAATGTTGACAATTGTTCATCATTCATCTACGTGATAATTACTTAGAGGAAGTGTTTTTACCATATGGAGTTTGGGATGAGAGTAACCTTTTCCCCTCCTTGTATTAATATCTCTTTAGTCCAGCATGAAAAGCCAGACCAGACTATAATTATTTTTGTCACACAAAACCTTTTAACAAATTCTGAGTAGGAAATTTCATATTTTATCAACCACCATGCCTGCAAAGTCACTCGTGGCCTTGGGGAGGAGCATCTCACATCTTGCCGTCCCAATACTCAACTCATGCAATCATGGTTACCCTACATGGACCTTCAAAGTTTGGGACTATTGTGGAGCTGATTTTTGTGACTTCCTTACAAAGTGTCAGGAGCAGTTAAGCAGCATGCTTTTGTGATGCCAGATAAAGCAGAGAATGGTTACGGGCGCAATCCTTGTCAGAGTGAGTTTACCATCCTTCTTTTCTTGGGTTACAAGCATCTGAACAAGCATGTTTGCTCTGGAACATGGTTTTTCCTGGAGGCTGCCCCAGGACGTGTCAGTAAAAGGCTCTGCAATCACGCTGCAATGTGGGGGACAGGTTACGGGGAGGCTCACTGGTGAATCTGAAAGTTCTCTCAAAACAATCACAAACACAAACACAAAAACCTTGGGCTCTGAGGATCTATTTTCTGTTCTCTAACATAAAGTATGTGTAATCAGATACGCGAAACATAAAAATGCATACAAGAACCTGCGTAAAAAAAGGTTCAACCATTACCATGTACAGTACTGTATATCCTATAAATAACAACACAGATCGATTGCGTTTGTATCACCTCTGATTAACTGGATCATAATGGACTTGGATAGGTTGTTTTATAACCTCAGTTAGATGTATTTGCATGAATTTTGCATTAGCTACAGTCTGTTCCTCTTATAAATGTTAGATGGTGGACACACTGAGCTCCCTATCTATTCCCACAGGGGACTGAGCTAGCTACCTTCAACCTGGATGACTGTATGCATTTATGTTTAATTTTGCCATTCACAACCCCTCATAACTGTATAATTTGGCAGAAATGATTTACACCAGTATGTCAGAGCTCTAGAATCATAGTATGAGTTGATTTGAAGAATGATTAAAGCAACCTTTCACATAAATTATTAATATCAATGGGAGATTTGCACAGATGTTCAAGTTATATGCCTGGATGTCAACTTCAAATCATAGGCCTAAAATCCTAGGCCTTGAAAGAGGAAACCAATATTAGTGACTGTTAACTGGTCCCTGCAACTTGGAATCTCTGTTGAAATCCAATGTGTCCATATCATGGTGAAGCTAGCCTACAATCCTCTTCATTTTGGGGTTTAAGACTCAGGATTTAACATGTAGTCCGTGGGATCCTCATACAGAAATGCATCCTGAACATTACGTCCTTTTTCTTCTCCTGTCATCTTGGAAACAGAACCCTATTGAAATGTCTGGCTTACACCAAAGCCTATCTGACTTCCTGATAAGGCAGACTCTTCCCTCTGAAGTTTAATCAAAAAAGGAGAGCAGACTGCTTAAAAAATATATCAAACATATTTTTTTAGGAGCTGCATGGTCAAAGATGCATTTAAGATTATCTGAAGCAGCGCAGAGACATGACAGCGGATGCTCCGTGTCTATTCATTCTGTTAATGAAAAATTGAGATAAGCTCCTTCAACTAAATATTGCCCTACCCAGTCTCCATGTTCACATGTCAACTGTCCTAATCTGAGCCAGCACAAAGGTACAGTGTGTAGGGCATCGCCTCTCGTGTCATCAGGCTCATATTGAGCTGTAGGTTCGTTGGGACGACGCAAACTCCTTAATATGTCTTGATATTAATCCTAACGTGCACAGGCCTCTTGAACTAAGAGTTGGTGATTTTAATTAGCATGGTCATTTTATTCTCAGGCAAATGTTTGCTGGAGATGCTAATGTATATGAAAGCAGATAGATCCCCCAAAGGCCCCTGATATCAACATGCTAGCTATAGTCTAAATGGAACACTACAGACAATGTAGGAGGTGCAGGCTAATGAAACACTCCAGGTCTCCACAGTCAAACAAAACAATAGGCAAACTTTAATAAAGAAGGAGTATGGAAAATAAAAATGTAATTAAATTGTTTATACCCGCTGATTAACAATGCTCTTTATAACCAACAGACTAATAGTTGGTAATTCATAGATGACTGTTATGAAATGTGAGGTATTATAGGAGATAATCAGCTTTGACAATGTAATGGAAATGCATTGTAAAATGACTGCATATAAAGTGGATGACTTGACTTCTATTCAGGGATATATATTGAGCTCATTGCCACTATACAAAAACAAAAGTCAAAAGTTTTATGTGTATTTTTAAGAAGTGAAATGCAGTTACAGTAACCAGTGCAAAGTAGTGTTTTGCTTTTAGAAATGAAAAAGAATATGAAATAAATCTATTTTTTTCATCACATTTCTTAATAAAGAGGGTGTTGAATTTCTGGGCTTTATTTTGACTGGAGACATTAATATTTAAATATGCACAGCGGAGCAGAGAGGAGAGTGCCATTTGTGCCTTTACATTTGCATTTGGCTCTTAAATTAAACATTAATTGTGGTTCTTCATAAAGGAACAATGCAACTTTGAAGCATTCTACTTTGCCAAGTTAATTATTTCCAATTTGCAACAAAATATCTGTAGATGTGTCAAAACTGCGATGATAATCACAGAAAGAAAAGTTCTTAGAATAACAGTGGAAATAAAAGAGTATCTAAGTGTTGGTTGCTTTTTATTTAGGTCTGACCTGAGCAGAATGTTAATGCTGCAATGTACTGCTGAGTTATCTTAGGCCAAGGTGACAGTTGTCATAAGGATTTTCCATCATTTGCTGAACATTTAATCAATCTCCACAATTCATAACCCACAAATTGCTCACTTCTCTTCTCTTTGCTCCATGACGTGAACTCATCCCAGATGCTCAATCTTGGTGGCTCACATTTCTCCACATAAGAAAGGTATAACATTTAATAATGTGTGATGCATGTCTGGCTAGAATTAAGTCATGTGGTTTAACTGAAGTTCATTTCTAAGTTGTAATCTCCAAGGCAATCTGCTGTTGGGGGTTTAAATCCTTCCACCGTACTGGCGATTAACATACTATATACTTTCACTGTTTCTCTGAAGAACCAAATTAATGCCCACTTCAATGTAAGCAGCTTTGAGGAGGAAGGGCCACACCACAAATACCTTTTCTACGCTCTGGGACTACCAGAGAGAGACTGTCATTTTAACGGATTAAGTCCTCATCTCAAGTCTCCAGAGACCCACTTCAGAGTGAGCATTACGAAGGTAACTTACAACACCGCAATCAACGTAACGCAATGCTGATGCAATTGAACAAACTACTATGGTTTTCCACTTGTTTCCCTCCTTTGAATAAGAACACTGTGTTCCAGTGACGGAATGAAATACACAAGATAAAACCATTTTATAAACAATTGGAGGGGGTGGGGGGTGGGGGGGTATTTGTGCGTGCGAGAAAGGACCAGCTGAGGGGAATGACATGGGGAACCTGACTATGTCTTGTAGGGGTCAGGCCTTAGATGACGGCTAGTGTTTCACAAGGTGACATTCTGTGTTAATCTGGAACTGTTGCCAGCTGCCTTGTGACTCTGTTGTCATAAAGTATCTGTGTTTAAGGGTTACAGGGATGAATCTTTCAAACGCTCTCATTGTCTTTTTTTGTTTTTTACATGGTTTGTGGAGAAAATGTTTCATGGATGAATAAAAATCAAGAGACAAGATATAAAAATCACAGTGCCACTTTACTTCACAGCTTAGAATAAATGTGTAATAACTTGGTAACAAAGTGGAGCTGTAACTACTCTTATTCTGAGATGGGAGTAATGTGCTATCCATACCTTTAAAAATACAAAGTATGATGGTACTCTACCAGACCACAGAGTGACAAACGGACAGGCCTTCCTCTCATAACAAACAAAACACATTACCATTATGTGAATAGAATGATATACAGTAATCTTACGACCTAATTTGAAGCCCTAAGATTTTGCCATCCTCCTGGGCCAATTAGCCATAACACTTATCACAAAGTCACTCCGAAGTATATCAATCCGTGTGCATGGCCGTGAGGTACAGTGTGAAACGCCAGTTGTGATAACACTGTTAAAGAGCTCCAGACTCCCGCAGCTCTGACACCACGGAGACATGCATCGCTACAATATGGTGCATGTCTT